TCTAAATTTTTTAGGGGCCCTGCGGGCCGAATAGAATGGCTTGGTGGGCTGCATTTTGCCCACCCCTGCCTGAGCAGCTACTTCTGCCCTCCCCAGTGCCTGCCCCACCCCCAACTTGCAGCAGTGGTGGCAGCTCTTGCCCAGGCTTTGAGGTGTGGTCAGAGCTGCTGCCACTGCAACAGCTGTTACCAGGTTGGGCTGGGGCCAGAGAAAGCATGTGCTCCATGCCCTGGGATGGAGCAGGGCTGGAACTGTGCTAGACCTAGAAGGTAAGCAACATAGGAAGGGATGGCCAGGGAGGGGGGAGATGAGAGAGCAGTAACAGTGAGGGACAGCTGTGGCTTGGGCCCTAGTGGGGCCGAGGCCAGAGTAGGATCTATGGTAGCCATCTGCCTTCCTCCCCTGTACTTAAATTCAAAATGTGGGGCTTTTCCCCTATGTTAAATGGGGTCGGGGTGGGAACGTTGTCTTGGATTCGAGTATGGATTGTACTACTATGCAGAATATTGTTAGAATTGTATCTGGAATCTTGTGCTCAATTCTCAGCTCTTCAAAAAAAAAAGCTTGGCAAAGGCTTCAGAAAAGAGCTTCAAGAATAAATCAAGAACCAGGAAGCCCTCTTTAAGGGATTAAACTTTAAGATTTAATTGCACCTTGAAAAGGTAAAGACATAACTTGGCCCTTCTGTAAGTACTTACAGGTGGAAAAGTCTTTAGAAAGTCTTCCAGTGTTTTTTACAAATACATGTTCTAGTTATGCATCAAGTCTAATCTTCAGTTTGTTTTATTGGGTTAGCTCATACTGATCCTTCCTTTTCTTTAAAATTGGAAACTGTGCAGGCATTAGTATAATTTTAAAACTCGGGTAGTATTGTTTTAGCATACAATAAGTTCACTTCATCAGTAGCAAATTATCCTGGAGGCTTAAAGCTGATGGATCCTAAATAATTATATACAATCTGTATTTGATTGGCAGATCTTCAAGGAAATGCAGGGTGTTACAAGAAGAGGTGCAGTGATTCAGTAGGTGGAACTGTTCTTTGAATCATACTGCAGTTAGCACATTAACACTACTAGGGCAGTTGATTACTTAAGGTGAGGTCTTTCTGTTGACGTCTAAAACAAAGGCTATAATCACTTACATTAAAGACCCCACTGCTCGTGTTAACAGAGGTAGATACATTAATCCTGGGATCCAGGCCATTTCCAACCTGTTGGATTACATTCAGTTCACCTAAGATATCTTTGGCCTCTCCTTTAAAAAAACCAAACCTGCCAGAATGTATTGTCTAGGATTTTTCAAATGATCCTGTGTGAAGTCTGCTTAGAGTTTTCAGAAAATCCAGACCGTCAGAAATCCAGAGTTCACATGACATCATATAAAATCCTTCAGACCCTTTTGGGTCAGGTTGTAATATAGAGGACTGTGCTATAGCAATTAATAAGTAGAGGAAGGACATGTTTACACATGCAATTATGGCACTTGAATAAATGATGGAACTTATTGCTCCAGAGTTAATTGCTCCTGGGTGTGCTATTTGAACATGCATCTGGGAGCAATTAACTCTGGAGCAATAAGCTCTGCAGTTTATTCATGCACAGCATGT